TCTTTTATAAACATATTTATTCAAGTATAAATTATAAATTACATTTCACACTATGGCAATCTTGCTAGCTTTTACAATTAAATGAAAATTTTAATCGAAGGACCTATGTATGAGTAGCTGCTAGACTTTTTTTTTACTGCCGATCCTGTAAATTTCAGGTCAATTCGATCGTAACTTTGAAACATCATGAGCCAGGATGTTCTCAAATACGTACAGACTCCTAATAAATTGCTGAAAGTGACTGATTTGCTACTTGCAATTGGCAGCGTTATTAAAAAAGAGAGAACAACTATAGAGTGACGATTTCCCATTTAACAATAGATTACAAGTCTCTACGAGATTACAGTCTCAAAGATATAGGAGTCGGACAACATATGATACCTGTAAATATAGAACCAATACTTTCAAGCTAGCCTGGGGAAGATGTCGCCGGACCATTCTAAGACCCCCGTGCTTTTACATGGGTTTTCTTAAAACAAGGTTTACCTTCAATTTCCTGCTACGGTACTATTTCTTACGGCGGAGGCATCTCTCGAGTTCAAAATGTCGCCGGAGAACCCGTAAGATTTTTCTTACGGTACGATTACGGTAACGTGAACGGACCATTCTAAGGAACGATGAGAAATACAACGATCCTCGTCATCCTTTCGCAAGCGTACATTTATTCAAGCATAAACTGCAAATGAGATTTCACAATATGCAAAACTTGCTAATTCCTTACGATTATTGTTTATAGGACAGGTGGTAGTCCATTAGAAAGTGAAAAACATCTTAAAAATAATCCTATGACATCAAGTTTTCCTCCTATGTATCATATTTTTCTCGAGTTGCAAACTAGCTCTAATTGTCTATTTAAATGTCAATAGTCCTTCCTAGACCCACGCGATTGTTATTAGACGTTCGACAACGAATCTCGCGCTAGCATGTTAGGACGAAGCGTTTACCTCTCCAATCTTTTCGCAAGTGGAAAATGTATCATTACTCGTTACTGGCACGTGCTCACTGTGTACGGAAAAGAAGCGTTAAATCCGATGAGAACAAGCTACACCAAGAACCTCGTTCGCGTTGCGCAATCAGTTTAAATATGCTCGGCGAGCGTCTGCGCGAGAAGTGTGTTTGGAATTTATTTAAGGAATTATAGCGCGACCGATGTTACGTAAACCGCTGACAGATTGACAGGGAAGCCGCCGATTTCAATTCTAATCTGTCCCACGTTTTATCAATTCGTTCTCTGTCAGTACAGTGTTGCTCTACCATGTGGTGGCAGTCTGATCAGAGAAACAGTATTCTTAATCATATTTCTCTAATAATTCAATAAGTGGAAATTCACATTTTGTTAATGTTTACTTTAATATGTGCAAGATAAACAAACATGTTTGAAATCTAAAAAATGAATTTAGTTCTTTTCAGTTCTAATCTGCTCTACGGTTTATCATTTCTGTTTCACTGTTGATAGCAATCCGATTAGAAAGAAAGGTCTTCCTAATAGACATTGTATTCAGTTAGTAGATTCATATTTTGTAAACATTTTTGCTTGAAACACGTGCAAGACAAACAAAAATGTTTGAAATATTGCATTATGTTTTTTAAAATAAAAGTATGATTCTAAAGATGTTTTATTCATTTGAATTAATTCGCTGTTGACGTCGTGCTCTCATCACAAATTATATTTGAAAAAAGTGCACATGTAAATAACGTGATAGCGTGCAATCGTTCATGCTCACGTTCAATCAAGTTTAGTGGAGTTCCTATAATTAAGTACCAATATAGAGTTCGAATTTTCTTGGTTGGAAGCACGTCTGGCACGTACAGATGACCAGGTGACGTTGCGACTGGTCAGTTATCTTTAATTTTAAATCGGACTTCGAAATGGATGGAGTTTCCATCAGGCTCACTGATGAATTGAATTCAACGAGATTAACGAATATCAAGTTATTTCTTTCGTCAAATTAATGTTTTGCGTAAACGTATAATTATCGCACGCTTAATTATCTCGCCTTCGTCACTCTGTATCACTGACTCACACGTGCTTGAAGAAAATCCTATATTTGAACATACACAAAATTCTTATTATTTTATGTATAAAAATCTCATTGTTGCATAACAATTTTCTTTTTATGTACGATGATACTTTTTAAAACGAGGAGCTTAACTCAAGTCACGCATTTTTGTGGATGATGAAAAAAAAGAGATCCAATTGTGAATCCAATTGTGGATCTAATTCTGCGCGATGCTCGTTATGTTATTGCGTTTCAAGTTAAGGGATTAAAACGTTAGAACGAATCGAATCGTTTTACGCGGATCGACAGCGGCGTTCCTACTCGTTCTATACATATCTCAACCTTGACCTACACGGAAAGCTCGACGCTCAAAACCGTGTCTCGCTACGCGTCGTTAAGACTCGTTTGCTTCCAGTTAAACAGCCGATCACGAAGGGAAATGACCAGAACATGAGTCACGTCGAATGCGAAATTAAAGACCACATGAAAACTTAATTGCTCATGAAAAATTTTACTGGTACTCGAACAATGACTATTTTCGTGTAAATTAAATACTTAGAATATTCTACATGTATATAATACCTGGTTGCGCAAAATAATTTGAATTAAATGAATTGTTTTAGTATAGATAAATTGATGCTAATCTAAATATGTTATCTTTGATGAAAGGACGGCAATTATTTCATGGTCAAATACTAATATCTGAATAATTTTAGAGTGCAACAAACAAGACTTTTTCATACGAAAGACAAATCCGAAAGTAGAATTGCTCTATCACGTATCATTTCCGAAAAATAGCAGTTTTTGTAAAGTTGGATGATTTTCAGAAAAAATTAGGTGTCTGGTATGAATCGCTTAGGAAATATTGCAAAAAATGTTCTGTTATACAGTGTTTTCCGACTTTTTCTATAATCTATGCAACTGCATTCTCTGTCACAAACACAAAATAAAAATAATCTATTTTTCACATGTGAGTTTAGTTAATTATAGGATAAACCAAATATACACTGCAGTCTATTTATCATTTTGCGAGAGTTTCTGTTTGATTATTTATTGAATATAGTTTATAACTGTGTTGAGACAGGAAATATATTTATGTCGTATGACGCAAGGCTCAACGACTCTTGCTCTGACACTTTCTTACACGCACATGCGTGTACAATTTTTCATAACACGTACAACAGTTTCCATGATTTAGTATTACTTCGACTTATAAACCGTAACACTTTTAAGTTAAGTAACTAATATCGTTCGTGTGATTGTAACAACTAAACATTTCTATTTCTACTAATTTAACAAGAATTACAAGAAATTCTTAAAAAAAGTAAAAACAAGTGAACAATAGATCCAGGTAGCTCTATTCCCTTCAAAACACAGTCGAAAATTATTGGAGGTGCATAAGTTTTACATAGTAATATATAAACAGTGGGTTTTTATACAAAATAGAAGGTCCATGGTAGTCAGTTAAGAAAATCCATTCCAGATTGCAATATTCTTTATTATTTAAGCATTAATACTTTTTCTTAACATTTGTGCTCGCAGCACACATTTATTTCATAAATGCATAAAATCCAGGGTTTACTGTTTCCTTATAAATAATCTGTAAAAATGTAATTAACTCTGAATATATCTTAGTTAATCAGAGATCAGGTGAAATGATCGATTACTTTGCGAGTATGGAAATGAACCAGGCAGGTAGGTATCCCGGTTGAAAGTTCCAGAAGGTATTACGTTAGCTTTCTAACGTGGTTAGCCAGCACGGCGGCGGCGTTAAATGAATTTTATTGGCTTTGTTTGCGGGGAGCATGCCGCTCACGCGACGCGCCTCTCCTCTGGCTCTGGTGCACGTGACGGGCACGTGGGGAAGTCATGGGTGCACCCAGTTTTGCCCAGAACCGCACGTACGTTTGCTTGTGTATTGGACGTATCGCACGGTGCGTACAACGTATACATAAGTTCGCTGGACGCGAGTTTATACGAGCGGCGAGTGAACAGTCACGCGGAACGCTTCATCTCTTACATTTCATTACGACGTGCAGGCTGACGCGTACACAATTTTTGTTGTGGTTACTTACTACGAACTGAATAATTTACGACTGGAAGCCGCTCATTTTCATTCTCCCTGAACAATGAATTATTATCAATTCATTTTGTAAAAAACGAGGCTTTAAATCAGTGAAGAATAAAGAATTGAATATAAACAAAATAAGACGAAAAATACATGTATTTGTTCATATAAGGGAAAGGAGCTTTTGTATGAGATAAATGAAAAGCAAATGAAAATGAAGAGTAAATGAATGAATATGGAGAAAGGAGATAAAGAATATTTGTCATAATAAGTAAACGAAGCACTTGTATGAAATATATACAAGAGAAAATGAAAATGAAGAATATATTTTTTTATTTTTTATTATTTATTTATTAGCCATTCTTGTCTTTTTTGACTTAAGAATATACAATCATCTCCTTACCTTCGGACGTACAGCCTGTAATCTTAATTCTATACTATTCTATCCTAACTCTAACTATAAGCTCTCTGACCTTATACCATCCTTCACTCTACCCCCGCTCTGCACTCCGCATTCATTCTCTCCTTCGCCAGAACATGAAGAATATATTATTGAATATGGACAAAAGAGAACGAAGAACATGCATTATAATAAGTAAAAGAAGAATTTGTATGAATTAAATGAGTAGCAAATGAGTAAATGATTAAATATACAGCGTCCATTTTTTCACCGACCAAGAATTCACATTACTTATAAAATAATTCACAGCCTCTGTGAAGGAATAATCATTTCCAAAATAAATTCATTCTGTTTCGTTCTGTGTTTCCTAAACACAAAGCATAAAATCTGTGTATTGAACATTGCGTTATGCATGTGACTTTGTATTATAGAACACGCACCGAATTTTCATTGTAAACAGTTCTATTTGCCTTTCTATCTCGCTGGATTAAATTAACCGCAAGCGGCCGCACGTAAACGATCGTAATTAAAAGTTTCCTTGAAAAGAGAAAAGAACGACTATAATTCATTTATTACATTTTTATCTATTTTCACGATTTGCGGTTTATCCGTCTTACCAATTGACGTCATTCGTAACACGAATTCCGGGAAGGTTCACTAATTTTTGATTAACTACATTATCACAATTATAATAACATAAAAACATTTCTTCAGAATTACACAAATTTTAATTATGATTATGTATATGAATTTAAATTGATAAGGTGTTCAATAGTAAATAGCATTTTCATAAAAACTAAGGCCAGCGAAACTTGGTATCAGGTACTTAGTCAAAAAAATATTTCATGTACATAAAGTATTTAGTTTAATTGTAAGACGAAGATAACTGTAATTGGCTCTAAAACTACACTATGCAACGTGAATGCTGATAAAACGGAAAATTCTTGTGATTAAAATGTACTTTATGTAGTAATAGTTAGACTGCGGGCGTTTATACGGAATAAGCGACTCATGGTATCAGTTTAAGTGATATGTTTTATACTGGGTGTTAATTTTAACTCGAGCACCTGAATTATTTCCGTTCTTATTGAAAGTAAGGAAAAACGACTGAATAGGATGTACAGAGTGTAAACAATCGTTTGCTCTTGGCAGTCATAGATTGAGATCTGTAAATAGAAATTATCGTAAAATTGTTCTTGACCGTAAAGTTCAAAGTCAACATTTTTTATTGCATTGTATTCTATGCGTCATGGACATAAGGTGTTAAAGAACCACGGATCGAAACTCAACCGTTCTCATAAAATATAATAGCAGAATCTCACTATTGGTGCTATTTATTTTCTAAAAAACTTTTTACATTTCTAATAAAACAAATAATTAGTAGTGTTGTTTATTTGTTGTTCATGCGAAGTCTAACATAATTGATCACCATCAATATTTCCTTTCTTAAGCCATGAAAAATATTCTATTTTGAATATTGTTTATAATTCGTTAATATAAATTTGGTATATGTCGTAAATGTTGGAAGGCCTCTACTCGAATTTTCAATTCTTCCACAGTTCTTTTATTCTCGTGATGCATAGAATATAATGTAGCGAAAAAATTGTTAACCATGAAATAAATGTTAAGAACAATTGTGCGGTAACTTTTTTTTTAAAGATCACCGATCCGAAGATCTAGAATACGCTTATGACTGCCAAGACCAAACGTTTCTTTACACCCTGTACATGGTTTTAAAGCTTTTATCAGCATCAGATGCACGCCTTAAAACCATGCACACCCTATTTAGTCATTTTTGCTTATTTTCGATAGTAGTTGAAATAATTCAAGTGCTCGAGTTAAAATTCACATACATTATAAACATTTGTTCGTTCATTTAAATATTGTATTGTCTATTCAGCTTTTGATATTCTGAATTGTTTTCTACTTTGCACGTGGCATTTATCGTTCCTGCAGATTCAGTTTTCTTATCATCAAAATCCGCAGTTTAGCAATAATATTGTGCTCGCCAGTAAGCGGAGCTTTTATTGCCTTTAATCCTTCCTAATGATGGATTAACGAGCCACGTTCGTATCTCGAACTTTCTAACGCGACAAACAAGCTACTCTTCAGCTTTCCAGGCGTTCTTTCACTCGTCTCATGTCTACTAATTCATTCAACTTTTCATAATTATTCAAATATTTTTCTCTCTAATAATTCAAAATGAGAATGGTCTACCATATGTACACATTTATGCATATGCAAACATATTTAACCATTTTTAGTTATGTCGAAATAAACGAGGGATTCACTTTTGTGCTTCATTCCTACTCTGTTTAATTATTCACGAGTTCTGTCTTTAAGTATTACTTCAGAGATATGTGATATAATACGACAGAATAGTGTGTTATCACAATAGACAATCCCTACATATTTGATTTAATATCGATGTAATTTATTTCAATCTAGCAAGACCTGATCTTTGAGTTGCGATAGGAAGTAAATAACTCACGAACGATTATTATCAAGATAACTTGCTGTTTACTTTATCTCGTTCCCGGTACAATTGCCTTCAACCTCTCATCCCATCTCTCGCAAACGATCTCTGCTCTTAATTTCTTCCTTGTCAATTAATGAATGCCGACTCAATTACGGTTGATACTATTTTTACGCATAGAATGAAAACAACATTTTAATATATAATAATTATAATAGATAAGTAGACTGCAGATGTTTATGCCTTTATAGAAGACGTAAGTGTGCTGATTTGTGAACAATGCATTGAATATGCAAAAGCATAAAAAATGCTGCATGCAGAATGGATGGATGTTATGATATTTAATTCATAAATGCAAACCATATCAAAATTTCATTCCTTATTATGAAATATGATCAGCGGTTTAATAAAGGAAGGGAACTAATCTATTTACTTTATACAAATGCATAAAAGATATTAATAAACTTTATTTTAATTTCAATATACAAATACAAATTGTTATTTTGTTTATGAAATAAACAGGAAGAGAATCGTGAATGTAATCTTATCCTTGATTGAAAATAATCTTGACGTGCATTTTGCCTACAACTATTCGCGACGAAGTCCGCGAATAAATATTGGCCAGTGCCCAAAACTGGTGAAACCGGGCCGCCGGTTCTTTGGCCAATCCGGCAATAGATTTCCACTAAGTTTGACGTAGGAACGCGACAAACCAGCATGTCCGTGTTCCTCGACAACAAGCAGTCAAACATTGTTCACAAGATACCGAACAGTCTACTGGACCACGGCATCGCCTCACTGTTTCCGGTAATGAAGAAATGATGTGACAGTGTTCTTAATTACCAAAGCATGCGATATTTCCCTTACTTACTTTGTATCAAAATGTTGAAGTTCGACAGTAATCCATTTAATCAATATAGGGATATATACATACATATATAATATAAATTATAATACAAATGGAAAGTTTAAGTCGCCTAGCGATTGAGCTCCTCTGAAAAATCTGTTCTTCGTTGTAATTACAAAGCTATGTCATTGCCTTTGCATACATTTTGACGTTTAGATGTGTCCTCAGACTATTACATGTTTTCATTGGTTTCTGTTCATTAAATATTTTTATTCTATACATATATTATACATTTGTAATCCTAATGTACACGATAATTAGTCCGGGTGAAGGCGTGACAGAGGGTGTTAAATAATATAAATTGCGCTCTGATGTAATAGAACCCAACCCAAAACGAGTGATAACAAAGTGTAAATCAATCTTTCATGTAAATTTTTCTACAGTAAATGATTTTACTGAATGCTTGACGAATTTTGCAATTTTTACAAAGTACTTATACTATCAAACCGAGTCTAATTAAATAATTGTTTTATATGTATAGTTAGAGAAAGAAAATTACAGAAGCCTATTTCCATTACAATTTTCCAATTCATTAATATTTCAACGACTTCCAAGCTCCTTGACATAAATTATTCTCGTGTATCGACTGGCTTTAACTTTCAAAAATCGTACCAATTGTTGATCCAAGCTTAACTGCCATCTGACGGTAGATCCCTGAATTAACTTTGCCGTCTCGTAGTTCATCAATGATAACGCTGATATTGATGCCAACTGTGGAATTCGTATAATAAATTTATATTTTTAAATGGGTTGTAAGTGGATAACACTAAAGTATTTAAGGATGTATAGGCTATATACTTAAACAATGCTAGCATGTTGAATTTGTTATTATAGATTTCTGTTACTATTAAAAAGCTACCTGCAATATTTTAAATGAATTCATGGGTTTTTTGAAAAATTATAATCACTTAAAATTTGCATGCACTCTTATGGTAATTAGCAGTAATCCAAAGAAAACTTTCTGGTATTTGGTGTGCACTTTTGGGATTGACTGTATAGCCAATACATCCTTAAAGCATATTATTCACAACGTCTGGCATACCTTTAATTGATATTCTTGTCCCTCCTATATGGGATGAGTCTCTTAATACGACGAGTGATGCTCAAGATGTTTCTTTACTGTGCGATAAAAATTTTTAAACAAATGTTACATAGTTTTCAGGAGAGGGGGGGAGGGGCTGTTTTTGTTTCGTTTCGTTTTTATCGAAATATGATGGTCACTTTCAGTTTTTAAAATAGAATGCCTAATTTCTTTTTGAATTCTGAGTAAATTTTACCAATGAGGTCGCAAATTGATAATTACTGAAATATTCAATTAATAATCGTCTGTTAGGAAACATTTGAGATGCGTAAGAATGCATAAAAGAAGGGAAGAGTGTTACGTGTGAATTAGCCATGTGCGGGGAGTTGACAGAGTTGACTGAGGGATGGATATAAAGAAGTAACAAATATATGACGTGGGTGGTGTCGCGGGGCTTCAAGCAACCGGTGACCAGTAATAATTGGATCATCGGGCGTCCATTTTAAGGTCAGCCGATTATCAGAACAATGTCATTCGTACATCGAAGCCCCGAGGGTAACGATGGATTTCACCCACAAACGCGTCTATCAGATACTATCGGCGATCCTCGGTCCGTTGGTGAGGGAATCGGAGGACGAGAACGAGGAGGATGAGACGTAACCATTGATTCGTCTTGCTTCCGTGTTAAAGTCAATTAACCGTGACCGTGGAAAGTAAAACGAGGGAAAAGTGTGCGCGTACTTCACGGCCAGTCTCAGTCTCATGTGTGAACGAGGTGCTTCGCGCGATATAGCAATATGAAATCCAGGTTCGGTAGATCGCGATCGGAGAACGATTTCTCACCGGTCAAGTTGCATGAACTGGACGACCTGTTGCATGGGAAGCGAATTAAATTGTCCAGGACCTCGTTTCGCGTAAGTTGTTCCAGTTAGCCCAGTCGTCGAACCCAAGAGCCATTTTCACAAGACTCGATCAAGTTAATCAACGATTAAACTATTGTCAACAGGAATATTTTAACATTCGTCGCCAGGATTCGATTAATTTAATCTATTTACATCATTATCAGCATCATCACTATTGGATATTATTTCAATAATTGGTCTTCGTTTTAGGTTCTAGCGGTCTAATTTCGCCTTCACTACAATCAGAATTAGTACTTTCATTTCTAATAATATTCTCCATTTCCATTTTCTCGTTATTGAAAAATATTGTATCAATTCTCTTGTGGTAAGGAATAACAAAATGGAATGTATGTATAAAATTATAGAAAGTATGTGTCAGTGAATAAAATTTTATACATTATCTTAAAATTATAAAAAAATACGCCAGTGAGTAGAAATTGTGATAATTATTTTATTATGTTATATTTTTATAAAATCTGTAATTAATATTGAAAGTGCTAATAGTGCGTTTGGTTTAATTTAAATATTGCTGATAGTTGAAGGACACTGAAGAGAATCCGAAGGATGAAAAAAATGGATCAGAAGAGGATAAAGGAGACTATTTTCCCAATTGTGATCCGTCTGTATGGATGAGATCATGTAAGGAAGAGGTGGTAGAACCGATAGCTGGAGAGGTGACGGGCTCGATACCGAGTTGGCTGAAGGGTACCTTGCTCAGGAATGGACCGGGAAGCCTGCAAGTCGGGGAGTACACGTTTAACCACCTGTTTGACAGTTCGGCTCTACTGCACCGGTACGCCTGAAACTGAAAGCAAATATCTAGTATGATGAAAAAACTGTTTTGAACATTTTTAAGGCCTAAGAGGGACTGACAAGGTTTTGAACAGTCAGACTTAGATTTTAATCCATTTGCATCATTTGGAAAAGTGGAAGCCAGAAAAATTCCTTACATATGTATACGAGTTTATGACGCAAATGGGTTAATAAATGGATTATGGATTTTATGCATCTACGGCAAAACACACATATGAAAAATAATATAAAATAAAATATGTTGTTCGTGTTAAGCATTATACTCATGTTTAACTATATCCATATTATGTATGAAACCATTAAAACGAGTTTGCGATGACAGGTTCGCGATCGCCAATGGAAAAGTGACATATCAATGCAGATTCGTTCAGACGGACGTTTATCGGAAAAACCAGGAGGCTCAGAGGATAGTTGTCACCGAATTTGGCACAAAACCTGTGCCGGATCCTTGTAAAACCATTTTTCAAAGGTATTTACAAATATTAATAATTTTTCACACGTCTTAGCTAGAAGAACGAATTCAGATTTTTATGCAAAATAAAACATTTTTTATATTAATTTAGGAAATTAAGATAGGAACTTTGATTCTTTAAAAATAATAACATACACGTTACTTTTGATGAGCAATTCAAAAGATCTGCGTCTCCACAATTAAATATTCTTTCTGTAGGGTCACATCGATCTTTAAGCCCGGCGACGAATCTGATAATTCGATGATATCAGTGTATCCGTTCTGCGACGAGTATTACACGTTCGCGGAAACGTCCGTGATTCATCGCATCGATCCAGAAACTTTGGAGACAAAAGCTAAGGTACAAACGGCTTACTGGATTCCGGACTCGCTTCGCACACATGCATAAAAATCGTTACATGTTCTCTCTCTCTCTCTCTCTCTCTAATGCTTTCCATGTGACGCTCTTAATGGGAACAACGTATTTTTCATGTATGCGTACGAAATCCGTCCGGAATCCCTTGAGTCAACCATATGTACGTGAATTTTATTATTGAAACTCTTCTCCAATAAGATGAATTATAGTAAATAATTTAATAATAATCACAGGTGAACGTGTCTGATTACGTTGGTATAGTGAACCACACGTCGCACCCACATGTGATGAATGATGGCACCGTTTATAATATGGGATTAAGCGTAACGCCGCGAGGACCCATGTACAATGTCGTATGCTTCTCGCCCACACAAATTATCGTTGGTTATTATTTTCTTAATATAATCATTTCAATTGCAATTATTTGATATTATCATATCATTAGATTGAGTTACTTTTTTCGTCATGTACATGATACTACACATAGAACGCTTCTTTTTCAAACTAAACGAAGATCTTGGATAACGACGGTTTTTAATAAAATACTTGGAATGGATTCCAAGATACTATTGTTTAAATTTTTTGCAGAAAATTTCATTTAATTATTTCTTTATTTTTTAGATGAAGAAGGGGAGGAGAAGGAATTGTCAATGTTCGATCAGGCGACGATCGTCGCCAGCATTCCATCCAGGTGGCTGTTGAATCCTTCTTATATGCATACATTCGGTATCACCGAGAATTACTTTTTAGTAGTCGAACAGCCGTTGGCGGTGTCTCTGACCACGGTGATGTCTTGTAAAATGAAGCAGAAACCGTTGCGCGCTGCTCTAAAGTGGCACGAGAACGAAAACGTAAGCCTGACTCGCTAATTAAAACAGTTTCTTTATATTCCTAATCATCTTTAAACACTGTTTCGAATATTAATAAAGAAGTGTCTCAATTTCTGTTCACGCCACGATTTCTACTCAATGTATCATTAGTCTATAATTTTAAGATATAAAATCTTTACATCTAATGAACATTAATATAAAAGTAAATTCCTTTCTATAATATATTATTGCAGACTCTTATACATGTGGTTTCGAGGGAGACGGGGTTGGTGGAACGAACATTTATATCTGAAGCGTTCTTTTATTTACATATCATAAATCAATTCGAAACGCGCGACCATAATTACGTGGTCCTGGACGTTTGTTGCTATCGCGATGCATCCATGTTGGACTGTATGTTCATCGACGCGATGAAGGTAATTAAAATCTTGATAAATTAAAGATTATAATATTTACGTTGTCTTCTAATTATTATTAAACCGAAAGTCTCCAACTGTCATTTCATTCATGATATTAGTTAATGAAATTAAGGATAATCATGCGACTTTTCTAACTTTTGTCGGTAAAATTTTAACGTAATTTTCTCTATTTTACCCATAACCAGGCAAAACTAATGCAAAATATTAATTTACGGCACAATACTTCTTGTCCGATCACTTCATTTTTGATAAAACAGAAAATTAACAACGTGACATTTGCCCGATTAAAGCAGGAATTAGAATTCTCATCAGAGACGATATTTAAATTCAATTTGTATGATTATTGCAGAACTTGCATAAGAATCCTGATTACGCAAAAATGTTCCGCGGCAGGCCGCTACGGTTCGTTCTACCAATGAAACGACCGCAGTCCGACGTTCCATTAGAGTATAATTTGATCACGGTAAAAACGGTGAGCCAGGGTTTGGAATCGTTCCAAGAGACGTATCTCACCAAAGAGAGTACAAAAGAAACAATTTCCGTAAACGATACTTCGGCGAAAATTAATGATAAGGACAAGAGAAGTGATTACAGAAATTTACTTACTCGAAAAGCGGCCGCTCACAGACTGCCGGATGGAAACATTTTCGTAAAACCGGAACTGCTTTGCGACTTGGGATGTGAAACGCCGAAGATAAACTATGATTCTTGTCTCGGAAGGGAGTATCGATACTTCTATGCTATTTCCAGCGACGTGGATTTAGAAAATCCGGGGACGGTAATTCTACCTAATTAATGAAAGAATTTGCAATTGGGCTACTGACATCTGAAATATATTTCGATTTGCAGATAATTAAAGTAGATATTTTGGAGAAGACAAGGAAAACTTGGTGCGAGAAAAATGTTTATCCGAGCGAACCGATTTTCGTCCCAAATCCAAATGGAAAGGTAAAAATCTTTTTGCACTAAAAATGCACTTCAAGGTGGTTCTAATCAAATGCAAGTCAGATCACAATCGTAAGACCGATCGTAATACAGATGTGTACAAAATTATATGTATAAACTCATGTTTTTATGAGCTTCAGAATCTACTCGAATCATGGTATTTTCGCATTACGTAGGGCGTTTGATTCAAATGCATTTTCCCAGTCATTTTTATTGGTTCGATAGTTCTAGTATTAATAATGTAAAACATTTAATTTCTTATATATGACTGCTTTAATTTGTTTAAAAAATCATAATTTAAATTTATAAATGGTAGTAATATATGTTAAATTCATACAACTATTCGCAATGTTTCTAGAGCGAGGATGACGGCGTGGTAGTGAGCTCAATCGTGTGGTCCGATAACGAGACACGCGCTGGCCTGCTGATCCTAGACAGTGTGACTCTCACGGAAATCGCGAGGGCCACTTTCGATACACCTGGCCCGGTGCCAAAGTGCCTACACGGTTGGTTCACCTTGGCCAAGTGAAATGGCAAACATGGACTAATAAACGATGGACACTCAATAAGCCTTTCTGGTTTGTGACAACGTTGCAGATTAAATTTTTAATTCAATTTAACACCATTAGGTATAATTAACATTTGAGTTTTAATTCGGATTTCATTAACATTACTTAATTATCTTAAGCGGAAGAAATGCAAATGGACGATTGAATTTTAATTCTTAATTAAAAAATACTCCAATTGTTGATTGAGATTATAGAGAATCGTTAATTGTTAATGCGGCAATTAACGTAATCTGCAACGTTATGATCTTGATTGCAATCGTTCGTTAATATTTTTTCTCCTTTTTCTTTTTTTTTTAAATAAAGTATTTCATCTTGGTTCATCGTTAACGACTTGCACTCGTTCAGATCACACACTGATTCCATCCGAGAATAAACAATATAATGTTTAAACTCAATGTTTCGTCTGACACTTCGACTCGTGTAATTTTGAAAGACGTTTGGATGTAACTAATGCCGAAGGTCTAAGAGCTAACAATTAAAATCCTTATTGGTTTCTTTCAATAATCAATCGAGGAAAACGTCCGTATTAGAGGGAAATAATAACAGCACAGTTCATGTATGTACATATGTATGTATATATACAATACAATAAATTATTCAATGTCTTCTTCCGATTGTACAGCGTATTTAATATTTGGCGATAGCGTGCGTCTGTCACGTAAAGCTTCTTTCATTCATTCGAATCGCGTGTAATAAATTGACAATACAGTATAATGGGATGCATCGTGGAAAAGGGGTGTCCGGGTGGAATGTAAAATGCCCTACGAAAACGCCTGTCTTATATCGTATTATTATCAACTTCTTGGTCCTAGATTAATTGAGACATCGTTTTACAATTATGCTGTCGGAGAATAGTTCTAAAAATCTAGTAGAATCTCTCCTGCGCGAGATATCAAACACAGCTGTCTTCTAGTATTCTATACCATGTCCTTTGACACTCTTATTGTTAGATCATTCGCAAAATGACGCTTATTTAATTTCTTTAGAAAGATATGTACAAGGGTTTAAATATAAATGCGTCAAGCATTTATACAAAATTCATTGTTTGACAAACTTTTAGAAATCTAATAGAAGCTATCCTCTGCAGGATATCCAACACATTCGCCTTCTAATATTCTATGTGTACGTCCTTTGACTATCCTAGGATTAAAACATTCACAAAGTAATATTTATTTAATTATTCTTTAAAAGACATCTATAAGACTTTAAATATATATTTTGTGAATATTATTTTTGTAGCATTTATGCACAATTTGTTATTTAATGAATGACTTTTGAAAACCTAATAGAAGCTCTTCTGTGCGAGATATCCAACACAGTTCCCTTCAAAAATTCTATGTACGCGCCCTTTGATACTCTTATCATCAGGTCACTCATAAAATAACATTTAATTAATTTCTTTTTAAATATCTGTATAAAATTTTAAATATATATTTTGTCAATATTATTTTTTTCAAATATCCATGCATGTCGTTCAACGAATGATCTAACAGTTGAAACGTTTAATCGTAATTGTGATGGAATCTCACAGAGATCCCATCGAGAATGTTCGCAACTTGATTATGCATATTAAAATCGTGTACTCGCGTTTACGGTTAAAATAAATAGGTTGGCACAACCATGGTCATAAAAGTTAACGGTTACATCACTAGAGTTTCACTCCCAGTTCCATCTTTTTAAATAATTCATTTCACAAATCACACTCCTCGCCGCACGTGATTTCATCGCAGATTATTATGCAACAGAATCTATTTGTTCATGATAAAAAATTTGTCACAAGTGCATAAAAATCCACGACTTAATTGATCTTCACCCGTCCTTTACTTCGTTCATTCGATTTGTCCCTTGCGTTCTTGAACTAATACAAATCTAATATCAAAGTTAAAATTATGGAGCTTGCGTCTTTTGTAGGATAAAAAAAATCGTTTTAATGCTTTCACTTTTTGAGTAAATTATTAAAAGATCATTAAATCATCATTACATCACAGATTAATTCGTTTAATTTCTTAATTAATGATTAATTCTAGACAAATTCATTTAATTCCTTGGCGAGAAGATGGAACGTGTTCGAGACAAACAGAATTCGAGGACGGATGAGGCTTGAAATGACTGGCATTCACAGTACATAACGCGAGTTTCGTAGATCGAAGCGACTCGTAAAACAGTTAAAATCACTGAAGCACCACGTACGCAATAATTAATACAATATAATTGACGAGAAGCTTCGAATCCCTTTGAGCACTGATATCACCAAGTCAACAAAAGAGTTTCCTTCCTTTTTCCTATGTCATTCACTCACAGACGTACACGTACATATGTATATTGGTAACTATAACTCTCCCCTTTCTCTCTAATTAGGCTACGCGTCACTATAGAATACGTTAGAGAAAAAATCGCAATGGAAATAACTGGTTGGGCTACTGATAAGGGTATTAAAAGGGAAATATTGATAGGACCCTGATACGAATCTTCGGTACCGGAAGCTTCCGCGCGAAAATAAAAAGTAAATCGCGAGCAACGTCCTTTGGAAATTGTTTACCGACTCTCGAGCATATACGCACGGTTCAATTTAATTAAATTCCTTTTTCCATGATACAAAAATTATTAACTGTTCAATATTAACGATTTACTACATTGCGGATTTTATGTATTTATGAAGAAATTAGAAAAAGTATAAACACTGCATGTAATGCATAAAAATAACTACATACAAGTTACATATTGCAATATTTGAAATATAAAATAAGTTTCTATTTACTACTGAAACTATAAACATGTTGTCCAAAAATCCGCAGTCTAATGATAACTAGTACTGGTTCAGTTTATTTTAAAAGTTTCAATGAAACGATATTCAGTGTTTAAGACTTCGTCTTTCTTATTTCGTCTAATCAAAGTGAACCGTGTATTTCTACGTTTAACACCGACACGTTTAACGAAACATGCATCGCGTTTCGTGGGAAGCCGTGAGAATGATTCTTGTCCCGCGATTAAGTACGAGAGGTGTTTCTAAATAGCGATCGTAAACTACGAAAGCGGTTAAGAGTATGATTTATTGCTCGAGCTTCGCGTACGCGGAGGCTAGGAAACATCCATGACCGTATGACAAAACGTGATCACTAATCTCACCTACACTAATTCTAAAGGATTCAAAGAAAAATCACAAGGTATTAAAAAATATTTCTCTTAGTCTAAATTACATGCTACGAGATTACACGTGTGTTTCCGATTCGACTGCATCATGAAAGATGAAAGAGTATCTCGATTCTTAAGAAAAACTTCCTAAACTTCTATCACATTTCTTCATCCGGTCACAGATTTTATTATTAACAAAAGAAAACACATCTCTCGTTCGGGTCGTACCGTAACACGCCGTGCGATACGACTATCACATTAAATTTGTTGCATCTACTTATCTGTCACTCTTTCATATCGTCCCATACGCTCAGACTTTTTCAACCTTCTCACAGTCGACCGAGGCGATCGAGTTCATTGTACTCGCATTCTTGCTCTCGGTGTCCGTCTCGCTTTTCGCTAGACTGGACGTGGAAACGCCGATATGGGATTCTTGGTGCATCGGCAAGATGCCCGCGTTCGCGTCCTCTATCGCTTTCCTCAGCTGTGAACAGAAAAGATAAAAAAGCTCGTTCAGAAAATGGTACACCACCAGTTCCTCATTGCGATATCGGACAGGAGTATTTAACACTAGATTGCCCAAGGAAGTCATTTTGACTGATTTTGGGCAAATGTACAAATAATAATGCATAAATTATTTTTTTTCCCAAGTGAAGTAAATTTTTTTATTGTTAACATTTACTAATAACTTGTTATATGACTGTAAATAATATAAAAAATATTAAAAATTAATTTTAGACAAATTTCTTTACACATTATTCTTTCACAATGCAGTCATTTTGACTGCT